TTGATGGCGGACTTGTGATTCTTAGAACTTATTTATTATGATTATAACTCGCATGATCAAACCAGTAATCACACTAATCAACACGAAACGGTGTGAACTTGCCGGTAATTCCTCTGATCTCTCATTCCTTCCTCAAATCTTTTTTAACCAGTGTGGAAAACCTTACGGGCTATTCCGGCTTCTTCTCTAATGCAAGCCACAGTGAAAGGTTGGACATCCTCTGTGTTGCCATGTCACGCTGTGTGTTGCTCTTGTTGCAATTCTGAAGAAGTAACATTTCCCAACAACATTAACGCAACGTTTTTTTCCGTTTGCCACCCTCCACATGTGTGCTGCTTGCAACTAACAGCTTCATGCACCGCCATAGGCAATAAATGGAGCTCTTAGAGGGGGTGCATTTTTCTTTTGTGTAAGAATCATATATTTGTGTGTGTGTGTGTGTGTGTGTGTGTGTAGGATGTCTGGTTCATCTGGAACAATTACGATGAAGTGTAAAGATCTGCGTGTGCTCCAGCTTGACATCCCAGGCATGGAACAGTGTCTCAACATTGCACACTCTATCGAGGTACACAACTAATGTAACCTGAAACACACCGGCATAAGAAAATCAATCTAACTGTTGGTCTTAGAGTAGCCTGCTGTTTTTCTGCATATGTTTTTCACTGCTTTGCATGTATCGGTGATGTCTCTTTAACTTTCTGCAGACACTGTCCTGTCTGGACTGCGTGTCCGCAATGTACCCTTTCTTTTACCGACCTGTTGAGCTCAGCCTGCCGGAGCAGTGGGGTCTCTCATCTCCTGAAATGCACTACAGTCAGATGAAGGAACTTGTAAGCAACATATAAAACTCTGTATGCTTGTTTTCTGCTGTAGATAACTTAATACTTGTAGACACAGACATTTTTCAGGTAACATTTTCCAGCAATGTCCCTGCAACCACATGACAGGGAAATGCCAGGGAAGCGTAGGGGTTGGGATTCAGGATATCCTTCTTGCTTAGCTTTCATTTGTTTTCCCCTTAACTTCAGAATGTGTTGCACACAGCTTGAATTCATGTATAACACACCGACGTCTTCCCGTGGGAATGGCACGTTGCTATGGTGAGGGGTCGCAGCTGAGGGCAGCCTTTTTGCATGTGTTTTACAGACACAAAATTCCCAGAACATGTAGGATATCTGTGCTTTTAACCAGAGCAGCCTGAGTAGTGTTTTTCACCCAGGAGAAAGTGGCTGGAATTTGCAAGTCCCAATTATTTCTCTCCCACCGACTCTTTCCATCACGACAGGAGCTGAGCTGTTCTGTGTAGTTAGAAACTACGAGCTTCAACTATTCATACAGAGTTTAGAAGAATACCTTTTACAGTTTAGGTGATTGACTTGATGATTAAGTTTCTTTGGTAAAATTAAAAAAAAGTGGAAAGTTGTTATAGCTGTAAGGCAAACAGAGCTATAGTGATTTAGCTTAGCCTGACACATTATAGGAGAACTCTTCAACAGCAATGATGGTGAAAGAAGCGTGACACCTTACTTTGGCGCAGACCGGTGATTTGATGCATGGTTTCTATGGTTTTATGTCATTGTAATGTTTCAAATAAGAGTTCAGGGATGTTTTAAGATAGTTGCTGAGTGGCTTCCAGAAGCACTTTAGTTTAGTTTAGTTTACAAAAACATTAGAAGTAGCTGTAAACAGCTGATCTGACTCCCTGCAAGGGGTAAGAATTACTATGCTGTATTTTTTTGATTTTACCTGTTTTTTATAGGCAGGCTCCTCTGGTCACCAACCTCACTGTGCCAAAAAGACTTAAAAAGAGACATGCCCCACGTTAGGTTTTGTGCACATTAAGGAAAGCAGATATTCAGTAGAGGTCTTTGAAAAGAAGCTTTCTTTACTTGGGAGAGAGCCAAGCTACTGTTTACAGTACTTATGCTTAAGTAACCAGCTGATTAGAGTACATTTTTATTTGTTATATTGAGTAAATGCTACCTATTCATGAGGTTAACCGATTAGAATCAAGTTCCACAATTTGGGTTTTCAGGACTGCAC